AAATTTTAATAAAAAAAATTAAAAAAATTGTTATTTTGTATGAAAGTTGTATTGATAGCAATTTTATATGTAAGTGTACGCTAACTAACCATATCTATAAAAAATAAGTGTTCAAGTATAAACAATTACATATGTATACATACATACATACATAAATATTTATGCAATGTTCTAAGCATTTCGTCAATCACTTTCGCACATACCACACCACCACTAATTAAAGGACCTTAAATCAAACACATACCAATGCAAATACCTCAACTCATGCGCCCACTAATAAATCATAAATCTTCATTTTTCACTTACTTCGTCCAATTCTCCTTGTAGAGTATATTCAATGACACCGTTATATCCCAGATATTCTCAATGGTGCGTTGTCGCACTTCCTGCGTGTCCGCCGACAGCGCCAACTGTGCCGATGTGACGCCATCGCCGCCGAGCAGTTCATCACCATAGCTGAAATCTACAACGCCCGTGTCGCCATGCTCATCGCTCAACGGTACAATGCCCTCGAGCATGGCATTGGCGGCAGCGGAAGCGGCATTTGACGTAGAAGTATAAGCAGTCGTGCCAGATAATGATGCTCCGGCGTCGGTGTGCGGGGCGTATGCGTTTTGTGACGATAACGCTGTGGCATTGTCCAGATGCATTTGTTCGGGTGAAGTGTGATAAATATTTTCCATATTACCGCCACCACGTTTAGTAGAAGCGAGTGTACGCTGTTGTTGCTGTTGCTGTTGGCGTTGTCGCTGCAGCACTGCATGATGACTGGGATGATGATGGTGATTATGATGATGCAGGAACGTTGAGTCTTCGCTCTCGATTGTTAGAAATATGAATGAACCTGTAGATGACAATAGAAAAGTAGTGGAGGTGAATGTGAGAAAAAATGTGTTGCTTATATTGTTATTATTGTTGTTGCACTGTTGATGATAAGGGAAATGAAGATGAATTCCCGGTATGCATAACTAAGGTGCACACAAACAATATAACGCGTGGAAGGTATGTGGCAGCAGCGAGTAGGGGTTAGACATTGTGCGCGATAATGAGGGTCCAAACGGAAGCGTCAAGTGTTGCTGAAGTGTCTGGCACTAGCAGTGGAATATGCGCTTCAATGGCTTATATATGTAAGTAGTTTGTTGTTGGTGTTATTACTTTTATAGTTGTGAATTTTTCAGGTTTATTCTTGTGTACTCGTGCCATCAACTTCGCTATCGCATTGTACTTGGCTTTAATAGCGAGCGAATAAGCACTAATGCTTACTAAAGCAGGTCTTTGTACGGTACAGTGGGTTGGATTTAGTGGAAGCTTGCGTGAAAATTCGCTAAAAAAAATGTCTTGTGGTCTGATTAAATATTCTACAAAATCTTGCGATTTGAAGTCTGAGTAAGCGATTTTACCTGAGATTTCAACTTTACACCATGCTTTGTAGACACTTGCGCATTCAGCCAACATTGTCTTAAGCTGAAAGTTTGTTACACCGGAAGAGTTTTCCTTACATTTATGATAGAGAAGCGATTTAGGTTCTCTTAAGTTAGGTTACACTCAAAAGATTATCTCACTTTGGAAGCACAAGCAGTAATTTTTTTTTACAGAAAAGTACTAAACATTAGCTCAGTTTTGGATTATATTTGTCAGCGATTGCATTCCGAAAAACTGAAAATGTAACTCCATAATAAGCTTTCCATTCGCTTTAGCATTTAACGCTTTATTCAGCTACTACTACCCTTAGCTGAATATGACAGAGTGTAACTGAGAGTGAAACACAACGGCTTTTTTCAGATAATTTGACATTTAGCGCTTTATCTTAAGCTGAATAAGAGAACAGACACAAAGCCTCGAAAATATTATATCCGATTCCACTTGTTGAGCTTCTTCTCGCATTTGTGTTGAAGTTGCTACTACACACTATATCAGTTTAGCTTTGCCATCGATTTAATTCTTCAAACACCGAATGTGCAACTCCATATCAAACTTTTTAGTTACATTGGAGTTCAGCGCTTTATTCAGCTAACATTTGTTTAAGCTGAATAATGCTGTATGCCAAAAAGTTTGGAAAGTATGTTAACCGATGGCGCCTGAGCAGATTCTTTTTCCTTTTGAAATGTGTTTATGATATTATTTACGCATTCAGCACTTTATTCAGCTAGAATTCGATTGCTAGACAATATATAAAGAGTATGGTTTGTACTCATTATAATTGTTTTGACCTCTTATATTCATTACGTTTGAGCTCTGTTATCTAAATATATGTATATCTAAAAAGTATGTGGATTCCTCCTTAAAGTGGTATAATTTCTTATTTTGCAATTTCAATTTTATTGTAGCAGTCGATTTGATATATAGCCACTCCCACGACAGCCGAAAAATGCCACGGATGTCTCATTTGCCAATTTCAAAGATTTGCTGAATTTACAAGGCAAACTCAAATTGGCGAAAAAATAATTAAGGATATTACATTTTTTAACTTATCTCATATCCTTAAGTATTTTTTTTTTTAACAAGTAAATGCTTTAGAAAAGACGCTCTAGATTATAAAACTTAGAAGCAGTATTGCTTTGTCTATGTTGCAGGCACACAGTGCCTAAGAGGCCAACTGTCAGTACACTAACGCCAGCTGCTGCTGTCAAGCAAACAAGAGTAGATAAGCGTTGATGAGTTACTTACACAAAGCAGCACAAACACATTCATGTCTATATATATACATATAAGTGTATATATGTAGGTACGAGCCAAATGTTATATTTGTAGAGTAAATGGAGCTAACGACAATAGTCCAACGCAAGAAGGGTTGCCACATTGGTTATATGCTTGTATAGATAGACAAGTGTGTACGCTCAACTATTATATTTTTAATGCCAAGCTCCAGCTGGGAGTGGACTTGACAAACTAGCTGTGCCACCGCAAGCACTGTAGCTGCTTAAAAATCTGTGGGCATGTAGAGTAAGTATGTCTGTAAGTGTATGTGTACACAAGCTGTGCACACTTCAAGTTTTAAAGCATGCTCACACTCATTAAACTATGCACACTACACAATCAGCGACTAACGGTAGTTGAAGTACTCGTGGTAATATAAAAAGTCAGCAATAAAAGGAGAAGTAGTGGTAGAAGAAATCTTATGTTGCCTCTTCTACTTTTTTGGTATATGTACATTTATATACATATATGTTTATTAAGATGTGCATTCTTTCAGATTTTTTCATTAAATAAAAAGTAAAGTATCGATTTTTGCTAAAAAAAATTATCCAACGAAAGCAAGTTCTTTATTTTCTATTTAAATCGTACCTAAATCATTTGAATTTTTTGAATAAAGAATAAAAATAAAACAAATAAATTTACAACTTTTAAAAGTATTATTTTTCATCCAATATTATATTAAAAGTTATTCACAGTTAAAGCTATGGATTAAATGTACTACATTCACATAGTACACCATGTCGTATGAGCAACACATAATGTAGGGTTTTTTATGTTAATAATCTTTGTATGGAAAACTTTTTGATTTGAAGAGCCACCTTCACAAAATTTTCGTGGTTTATTCGCCGAAACAACCATACAATCACTGAATAAATTGTTCAGATCGGACCATTTTAGCATATAGCTGTCATATACACTGGGCAATCAATCTCCAGAAAAACAGTTTTTTATACCCTTTCATGCTATAAGAAATGCAGCTGTGAAGGGTATTATAGCTTTTGTGCTACTGAAGTTAAGTTTTTCCTTGACTAAGACTTGAAAAAAAATACTTTTTTTTATGAAGCACCCTAGTATATACATATGTATACATGCATGTGTAAAGTTTAAAGTCCCTGTAAGTGTTAATTAACGCAGCAAGCATGCGAAAGTGAACACAAGTCCTTGAGACAACGTAATCGTTATTGCTATTTAGTATGAATGTTGCCGTCGTTGTAAGGCATGACTTTGAGTCGTGAGTGATCGGCTATTTAGTGTTGGTCAACTTGCGGTTGTGGACGGCGTTGACTTGCTGCTTTCGTCTTGAATTGATGTTGCTGTAAGACAACCATTTTTTATGGTCTTCGTAGATTGCACACTCTTCCTAAGCGCGCTTACTCTCACTCGCTCTGATTTTCTTCTATTTTTTTTTTTTTGATACTTTGTAAGATTTGAAAATTGTAAGCATTTTTACACTTGGCAGCGCAAGTTTAATTGCTTTGAGCGTCACGTCTTACGCTTAATAGCTGTCCTGTTGTCCAATGTTGCACATTTAAGTTTGCAAAAGTTGCTTCAACTATAACAATTTGTAATTGAGCTGCTACGAGTGTTGTTGCTGCTTGAACGATGTACGCAATTAACGGTAATTTGTATGCGAAAGTGTTGAAGCGTAGACTCTCTGTGTATGTGTATGTGTGCGTGTAGCTGCATAAATTGTGATTGGGTTGGACCACGTTGTGCTTGGAAATAAATAATTTATATTGTCTTGWCTTGTCTTATATTTATGGAATTTTTACGTGATTTTACTTCATTAAAGGTGTGGATGTGAAATTTTTAAAGATAATTTTAGAAAAAAATTGAGCCTCATATTATTGAGTGCCTAACTACCACTCGGGGAGACATTCTATCAGCTTAATTAAAACTTTTGTTCTAATAAGACACTCGTTAGATAAGACCGCATGTTGTCGCCGTCTTTGTTGATACTAGAAAATTGTTCACAAGATCCAAGTGGACGTGATGACCACATCAACTACCTTAGATTTGTGGACTTGGACGCACCAGCTACCATAAACTTGTGAGATATCAAAAAGGAAGTTAAGAAGTCCACAGCCGTACCTCAAGCAGTCAGTTTCACAATTGGCGAGCTCTGCCCTTTGCTGAAAACGGTCATAGTCGAATCGCGGTAGACCAGCGCAAAAGCGTGTCTAAGCCATGGTTGACGGTCAGTCAAGTTGTGCTATGTGTTTGTTAGGATTGGCAGGAATTAATTAAAATGAGCTGCTCCCCTATGGCCAAACTCTTAGTTCGGACTTCTAGAGTTAACAGTTGCACCATTTGAAGGAAGCAAAAATCCACAAGCGACCAGCTTTGGCCAATAAAAAATAAATTATGTTTTATCAGGATAAGGCCAAGTAACACATATCGCTTATGATCCGCCAGAAAATCTGTGAGATTCGTTGAGAGATTCTTTTGCATTCATCTTGTAGTTCCGATTTATTACCAAGTGATTACCTACAATGAGAAGAACAAAACCGCCTCGTATAAGAGACTCGCTATTTGATGACGACCCCTGCAAATGTGTTACAATTTAAGGGCATGCACCTAAAATTTCCGGTTCCTTAATTGGGAATGTGCCGCTGCCCAGCTGGTTGAGTAAAGGCTGATATCACCGCCAATAAGAAATGCGAAGGACGGGACAAGGACTGAGGCCAGTAAGTCTTTGGGGCATATACTAAAGTGGCCATTTAAGGAGCGCAAATTTGGTGTGGGATTTGTGGTGGGAGAGGGACTCCATTGGCGAGTACTGACATTCACCACGGTGGAGGAACGTCTAACCACAATTCGCATCAAAGCTAAGTTTTTCAACGTATCGCTGAATTGCGCCCACGCCCCAACGGAACAGAAGGAGGATGTGACAACAGATGTTTTCTATGAGCGCACCTATAAGAACTGCCACCGCCACAATGTCAAAATCGGGCTCCTTTATGWCATATTCCCAAATGGGTTGAAGCTGATCGACTTCGCCGGGATTCCAGCATAGAAACCTGGCTGTCTCCAGATCGAAAAGCCACCAACCAGATCGATCATGTTCTGATAGGCGGAAAAACGTGTCCATTGTTATTCTCATCCCCGCAAAATTACCTATGAACTTCTTTTCGTTCGTTAGCTTTGCATTAGGTGATCGAGTGATAGTAGATATTGAGCCAATAATTGCATTAATGATGTTGTTTGGAAAATATATTGAAGACTTGTTTGTAAAAAATACAATTTGCTTGTGTTTTATATCGAAATAAAGCACTTGGTATAAAATTTAACGAGTTCTTCACTAAATTACGAAATTTGTTTAATCTAAATCATAAGTAAGTGTCATTTTTTTACTCACCCAATAAAGTGTAGGCTAGCAGCAATGCACAGATCCCCAGATTCGTTAACAGAGCGGACCAAATTGTTTGTGCCTTCTGTTTGCGATGCCTTTTATGCTGTGACTTGGTTGTTGATGAAGAGTGGCTACTACCGAAACAACCGCAGCACTTTGCCGAGCGCTTTGAATCCACGTTACTGCTTGTTGTTGCAGCACCGGAGCTGCCCATGCCAACGGTGGTGTTAGACTGATGACTGCTACGCCCCATATTGGCATTGTTGCTCGTATTTAAGCCAAGCGCAACACCGCTGCTGCTATTGAGTAGACCCACAGAGGGCGGTGGTGGTGGTGGTAACGCTTGTTGCGTGGAATGTTGCAGTGAAAGCACCGTTATTGGTGTCGTCTGATGCTGCAGCATATCGCTGTTTAGTGAGAGTGTGGCAGGTGGTAATTGCTGTTGTTGTTGTTGTTGCTGTTGCGCATGTGACGCTGATTGATAACTACTGGTAACACCACTCAAATAACCACTAGACATAGTTGAGGCGGGTAACGATAGAGCAGGCGCTTGCATTAGCGTCGGCGGTGGCCCCGGACCCATGCCACTGCCGCACATACTCAAAGTAGATGGTGGCAGTGTAAGTGGTGTTGTTGCCACCGATGCTGCGGCGGCCGCTGCGGCAGCATTCGGATACTTGAGTATACCGACAGGCATTGGGGTGGGCGCATTAGCTGTGGTGACAGCCAGCAGGCCGCCTTCGATGTCCTCGAGCGTGGGCATGGGCAGTAATGGTGTCTTGAAGGTGCTTGTGCCGCCACTGTTGGGTGTGCTGCCACCGCCCGCCATCATTGATATGGTTGAAGGTGGTGGTGGCGGCAGCGGTGGTGAGGCGGTTGATGTGGATGACGTGGATGCGGGCAGCTGACCATGTGGTATAATCGGTATATTCACGTAGGTGGTCGTCTGTGAGGCAGGCGACGACGCTGATGTGTCTGCTGAGGTTGTGGTAATGCTGCTGCCACTGGGTGTGGCATAGCCGTTGGTGTAACCGCTGTCGGACAGCAAGTTCGTTGGTGGTGGTGGGAATTTCTGCTGTTCGATGTTCATGTTGCGGCAGTGAGATGTTTAGTGCCTGCGTTTGTTATGCAACGTTTATTGGGATTACGGCAACTGGGGTGTGATTTAATGCGCTGTCCATCATTTTCGAAGTTTTTGCAGATGTAATTGTTAGTGCTTTCAGACAGATTGTGTTTGTTTGCGGCTTACGTTTTTAGTTCTGAGAACACTGCAAAAAGAGAAAAAGAAGCAAAAAGTTTTATAAATATTTTCTTAAGAGGTATCGGTTATGCAGGGCTGATATTGTGGGAATCCTTCAAAATTATGTCAAAAGGTATTTTGTGGAACCTTTCGATCTCCTTTAAATGTTAAAAAAAAAATAGTATAAGTAACTAATCTTCACGTATAATCTACTATCTTAGTTCAATTAGTTTCTCTTTTCAACTTTCTTACTTCCAAAACCAACAATTTCCAGCGAAACATCGATCGATAATGTTGTTGTTGTAATAAGAGATTACTCATCATGACTTTTTCTTCGACAGATCGATATAAATCCCGCTTTGAGTACTTAAAATATATACAATAAATGGGGTCAAACCCAATTTTAATGGCATTCAATTTTTACTGGTAGTTTGCAGTATTTTTGTATCAACCTAGAAGCGGGCATTCTGGATAACACTCATTCTTTCAGTTTGACTGACATATACGTAGGTTGCCTTTTACATTTCGGGATTTTAGAACTCTAGTGTTGCAATCTGGAAACTGACAACTTGATCGAAAAGTTTTCGACTTTTGACGGCATAGATTCCCAAAACGTTTTGACAAACGTTCTCTACTTGTGTTGTTTACAGTAACTTGAAATATTCATCTCGGCCAAAATATGGTATTAAATCACGAACACTTTCGTCGTGAATTACCTAACCAACAGTCTATCGGTGAATTTTATTTAGTTTTTGGCGATGAGACTTCATCAAAAAGCAGTGCTTATCAAAGGAAAGGTGAATTCAATTGAGGTCGCATATTATTTCTAGACGGATTTCGTGAAGGTCGTTCAAAAAGAGTTATTGTTCTGGAAACTATTGATACTGTGTGCAAACAATTATTACCAGATCGTCATGTTACCTATCGTGAGATAGAGACAACTACATTTGAGTGTCAAAAATATTTGTTCACAGTTGATCCCACACAATATGTTAAAGGTTTGTGTCGATAAGTCGGGAGAAGTGTTAAAAATAATATGGCGGTGCTGCGAAGCCGCATCCAACAAAAATTTTTTCGCACGAAGTTCGTCGAAGCATATGGTTGCCTCTTTTTTTCTAACAACTGAACATATCTCAAGCATAACACTAGAACAACACTGAACAGTAAATTCTAAGTGGTACACAATCATATGTTTGCCAGTTGTCTTTCAAAAAATCAGAAAAACCAACTGCCGAAGACGGATCACACTTCACCAAGATAATGCGAGTGCTCTAACATCGACTGAATGAATTGCATTTTTGAGCATTTAAAATACCGATTTGATAAATCAAATACGGAGGGTATGGTCCTGACGTGGGACCAAATGACTCAAACTTTTATTTCCATATTTTAAAAATAAACTAATTTTTATAAACATAAAGATTTTTCGACACCTGAAGTGACGGTTGTTGCATTCAGAACGCATGTTTTGTTGATACCGCAAACAAAGTGCCAAAAGTGCTTTGAAAATTGGTTCAAACGCATTCAAAAATACCACATATAAGTCTTGATTGAGAATATTTTGAAAAAGATTGGAGCGATTTTCTATGATTAAAATTTATTTTTGTTCTTTAATCCCGACATAAAAAAAAGGCAATCTACACAGCAGCAAGCAATATTTATCTTTAAGCTAGTACATCGGCTTTTGTTTTGCTTTCCATCGTCAGCATTATTTATTTAGGGATCTAATATACCTTAAATATCTTAAATAATAAGCTCAGATACAGATTCTCCCACCAGGCCGAATTTGAGCCAACAGAAGGAGCGGCGAATGGCTTTATGATGGCAACAGAATCGTATGCATTCCTGGACCCATTAAAAGTATAAGCTGATTTGCAATTGGTCTATCTTAAAAATCTTGTTCTAATATGAAATCGGTCTCTGGGCAAGGGAAATATTCCATTATACTTGTAGAATAAGGGAATGTTTTAGTGGCTACATGACTCACGTAGAATGACGATTGTCATATGATGCAAGGACATTTAAAATTCTCAATGCGGCTTAAAAAAATTCTAATAATAAGGTGAGGTGGAATTTGACTCTTAAGCCTGTTACTTTGAACTCACATAGCTTTTGAAATGTAATAATTCGAAATTATGTTTTTTAGTTATTTTTTCTTTTTGAGTTTGTTCGTTATTTAACAGTTAGTAAAGCAGCAGATTTTCACGCTAAAACATTTACATTTCTGCATATAAACTTATCTTTCTTATAGCTGACCCTTCAATTTAACCTTGACTAACGCATATATATATTTACAATTGCATTTACATATGTATATACAAAGTCAAGTAGTGATGTTCTCATGCCAAAGCATGTACATACGCCTAAATGTAGGCCATATATTCACTCATGTATGCCAAATAAATTGCCGCGCTGCTCATGGTATGCCAAATGCACGCATGCATATGCGAATCTACGCAATTTCAGCTCAATTTCACTTCAAAGCAAACATAAACATACATATACAGGCGCAGACATAAAAGCATACTTCAAAATCTGCCTGCATACCTGTCAGATAAGGTTTCAATATACCAAAGCACTTTATTGCACAGACGCACATATACATACACATGGTTAGATATTTTTTTATTTGTGTGAATATGTATATTTGCGCAAATTCTTCACATGCCAGCAAGTGTATACTTTTTTGCAGCAAGCCAACAATTTGCCCATATTGCTTGGTGCTCCTAACAACCGGCGCGAACCTGCTAACCTTCAGCGCTGAGTTGGATTTGGCGGCAAACACGTAAAAATAAGTGAAATAAATGTAAATAAATAAATAAAAGCACGCACTCACTTAATACAAACGCCATATATTTAATTTGTATGCGCTGCTGTTGGTGCATATGCATGCGTGTGTGTGGAATTTAAGTGAAAAGCAAACATTTCGTGACAGGCATTGTAAGGTGAGCACTCACATACTAGCCATACATACGTGTAAGTATGTATGTCGCTGAATGCGAAAATGTAATCCAGTCAAAGGCAAACATTGGTAAGCGCATGTGTGCAAGTCTGCTTTTAGGCGCATACGCAGACACCACTACTGCTGCAAATTTAATTAAATCTACAAATGTTGGTGTGTTGTTTTTTTATGTTTATTTTTGCACTTTTTGTTAGTTTGTCTAGAAAGAATTTTTCGCCACAACAATATGGACGAACTTTCTGTGCGCTTGCTTTGCTAGTTGCTCTCTGTATTTGTATAGCGCGACATGGTGGACAGCGTGGCCAAGAGACTAACCTGTGTACTGCTGCTGACAGTAACGGGTATTTTGTTACACACCAATTGCACTTTGCTAAAAAGTAAAGCCCTTGAACTACTCTCTGCCGCAACAATGCTACAAATATGTCCCATACATTTAGGCGCACAACAGCTGAAATGTGTGGACCACACAGACATAGCGTCGTAAAGTTTCAACGAATATTGTACATTGTTTTGACAAGTAAAAGTGGCGCTCAAGTGCACGCTCAAAAGCATGCTATTCGAGTTGTAGCAAATAGAGTTGTGCGAAATGTGTGCGCGCGCCTAAATGTATGTTTTTTTGTGGCGAAATTGCGCGCTAAAAGGTAAAGCAATAGTTTATAGTTTTATTTTAGAAAGTTTTGCAGTTTAGTACTGTTATTTTAATTACTTAGCAGAAATTGTTTGAAATCATTGCAAAGTTCGAATTTGGTTTCTATTTGGTTTCTATTTGGCATTATTTCAGGGTTCTGACAGTCAATAGTTTCAGTAAGTTTGAAGCTACAAATATTATTTAATTAATTTCAGCAAATTGACAAAATTTGTATTATTTCATGCGAATTAAAATCGGAGGTACGTATACTAAGACTGGAAATTTTAGCTCATTGTGTTTTAAAGTGCTCATATTAGCATTGCAACGCCACATTGGTCAAGCAAAAAATTAAATAGAGACTTTAAAATTCAATGGAGGGTAACCATTATCACTATAACAGAGCTGGCGACTTTAGAGCTGAACCGGGATCAAAAATATTGTTTTTTTAAAGCCTGTTTCTAACTTTAAGCCAGTTTCTACTTTCTTCCAAACATGTCATAAAATCCATTAGAAATTCGGAAATGACTTGAAACTTGTAGAGCTCTTCATTGGTTGCATAATACCAAGTTACAACCGAAAGGGTAGGCAAACTCGGTCATATATTGAATATATTTAAGTATATGTGGCGGTTAAAGGTGTCATTAAGTAAAACACTATTTAACCAGCTACTTAATTTTATTATATTAATTTACTTACAAGTAAATCCGACTTACAA